AATAGAAAATGTGGGGGCTTTGGATTCTTTACGTCTTGTAAAAATTAGTTGGAGGAAATGCTTAAAAGACCCAAATTTTGGTTGTTGGTTTCATGATAAGAGGCATGGAGTGATGTAATTGGCAAGAAAATAGAGATTTTAAATAACACAAAACAATCTAACAACTTCTTTTCTCTGCATCAACCATCCTTGTAGATGTCCATTAACCTCAACAAGCTGTTGCAGATTTGTCTCAAATGGGTTTGTTGAAAGTTACTAACTTTTTATTTTTTGGGGGGGGTTTGTTCTTTCTTCTGAAGGTGTTTGTAGGAGTGTTGGTACTGGTCATGGCTTTTTATCTGACTACCTTATTGTGCCTTTGATGAAACTAATGTAATGCCCCGGGGCAAGTTAGCTATGGGCTCTTTAGTGACTGTTTGTTGGCTCAATGGTAAGTTTAGTTTCTGTTTTCTTTCATGGTGACTTTATTATAAAAGAGATGCAGTGTACGTTATTCTGCATCGAATTCTCACTTACGGCTAACAAGAACCACGAGAGTAGCTTCACTTACTGTTTTTTGGGTTTCCATACCTCAATGGTTGACTTGCTGGAATGAGCTTGACAGTTTTGCAATGTTTCCCCCAAGCAACATTATCACATAATTTCAAGATTTACCTCATAAGAAATGTTCTTGTTGCTGGGGAGACCATTTCTGTAACTGGAGATTTCAACTCTCTAATTGGCATAACGTGTTTTTGTGATTGATTTCGTGGAGTATATACACAGATAAAGTTGTTTGTTGATTGGTTTACTTGCTTCTCTTATCAGGCTGTTTGGTTCATCGCTTGTTGTTGTTTATTATCTGGTTATCGAGCTTCCAAGATGTAGCTGCGCATTATAAGGTTAACGAGCATAGTAGCAGATCAACAACCTCTGAGTTGGCAAATCCACCTGGTATTGGAGTATCCGGTCCCATTGAAGTATCTCCATCCGTCATCCCCAAATATGACTCCCCTGCTCTACCTTGGACACCACCAATGTACCCTACTTTTCCTGATACATATGAACCCAAGTTAACTGGCAAATGTCCTGCAGACTTTCAAGCAATTTCAAGTGTTATTGATACATCAGCGTCTGATTGCTCCCAACCGTTCGCTGCACTTGTTGGGAACGTGATCTGTTGTCCACAGTTTGTTAGCTTGCTTCATATTTTCCAAGGACAACACAACGTGAAGTCAMATCAGTTGGTTCTGCCTGATGCAGATGCTACAGATTGTTTTTCAGATATCGTTAGTATCCTGGTCAGCAGAAGAGCCAACATGACAATACCTGCACTTTGCTCTGTAACATCGTCAAATCTAACTGGAGGTTCTTGTCCAGTTGTAGATGTCAAAACGTTCGAAAGAGTTGTTAACAGTAGCAAGTTACTGGATGCCTGCCGCACTGTGGATCCTCTTAAGGAGTGTTGCAGGCCAATTTGCCAACCTGCAATTATGGAAGCTGCACTTATTATCTCGGGACACCAAATGACAGTTGGTGATAAGGTCCCTTTAGGAGGATCAAATAACATCAACGCAATTAACGACTGCAAAAATGTGGTGTTTTCATATCTTTCCAGGAAGCTCCCAGCAGACAAAGCAAACGCCGCATTTCGAATATTATCATCATGCAAAGTTAACAAAGGTACTGAACTGCATCATATTATCTTTTTCATTGATCTCCCTTGGATAGTCCCTGGAAACTAATTTGGCTTTACATTGTGGTCTCAGCTTGCCCCTTGGAATTTAAAGAGCCAACTGAAGTGATTAAGGCTTGCCGTAATGTGGCTGCTCCGAGCCCTTCGTGCTGTAGCTCGTTGAATGCATACATTTCTGGGATACAGAACCAAATGCTAATAACAAACAAGCAAGCCATAGTCTGTGCAACAGTCATCGGTTCTATGTTACGGAAAGGTGGTGTTATGACAAATATCTATGAGCTTTGTGATGTCGATCTCAAAGATTTCAGTGTTCAAGGTAATTGTTCTGTTTTAGATTCCAGAAAGCCCTTCCAAATAATTGTATTGTCTTCTCCTCTCCCTGACCTTATTTTCTCTTTTTTCCGGTTTCCCGGGTATCTCTCTGGGCAATAAGCAGCATATGGAATGCAACAAGGTTTGCATCAATTCATCTAATAATTCAAGTTGTTTGATATGTGTTTTTATTTCGCCACCTGAAGGTAAAAAGTGTTTGACAATCTTTTTTGGCGACAATGTGGATCTATAGGTTGTCTTCTCAGAAGTTATCCTGCAGACTTAATATTTGACAACACAACAGGGTACAGTTTTACATGTGATTTGACGGATAACATTGCTGCGCCATGGCCATCTTCATCGTCAATGTCTTCTTTGTCTCTCTGTGCTCCTGGTAAACATTTTTCTTTACCTCCTCTCTTACTCATTGTTTGAGCTTCCAAGAAAAAAAACTAAAAACTTTGGATTGCAAAAAGAATTTTGTTTTGACTTATTCAATCTACTTAAATCTGCAGAGATGTCATTACCTGCCTTGCCAACATCTCAGACTCTTAAAAATCACGGTACGCATACTTTCCTTGCAATGCAAATCTCTAGTACAACATATAAGTAAAATCAACAAAGTAAAGAGCAATAGAACTCAAAAGACCTGCATGTATTTGCAGGGTTTCGCGATGATGCGTTTGGAGCGTTACGTTTCATTATTTGGGTATTTCTTGTGTATGGGTGCTGTGAGATTTCAAAATGAGATTTAGGATGGTTTTAGTTTTTTTTGGTAGTCAGTCAGGTACTTCGGATAAAACAATGGTAAGCTCTTTTTCTTTCTTCTGTATATGTTTTCTTAACAGGGTAAGGGTTATGTAGTAGTAATATGTTCTTAGTCTCTGTATAGCAATTTTCTTCTCGTTTGTTGTTACGAGTATTCTTTTTTGTTTTTTATTTTTGCATTTAAGTTATTCATTTAGCAATTCGGATAACATCATTTGCTAGCTGAAAAATTCTGCCAAATTAGCAAAACAAATTCCATCAGTTTCAACTAATTTAGAAGAAAAAAATCTGATATTACTAGTTTCAATAATTTTTCCGTCATCAATAACTATGTTTGTTTTGGAAAAAAAAGTCGGAGAGTGACAGATATCCAGTATTTTAAGAATATCAAAAATCATATCTAAAATCTTTAAAAATAAATTGAATAATACGTGTAGAATATAGTTAATTCGAGTATTTTAAATCAATATTAAACATGTAATTTTAGAATGAATACGTGTAAAAATGCGTTTTCAGTATCCAAATTAAATGAAACAAATTTCTATTTGATAATTTTTGATATAAAAGAAATTTTGATAAAAAAAATGGTCGCA